AGGCCATTGATTTCCTCCTTGCCACATTCTCAGTCCTAAGAACAGGTTGCCTCCTCATTTGTGCTGCGAATCTTCAAATGCAAAATGCATGTTGATGCTAGCCTAAAGGGAATGATCCCTGAAAGGGTGTCACTTTCTTTCTGTTTGTATGACTCATTTTACCTTTCTCTATGTCTTACAGTCCTTTTCCTCCTGCTCACTTGTTGTTGTGAATTCCAACCTCAATGTACATTCTCTTGTGTCTAAAGATGTACTTTGGGGGCTGGCTGAATGGCGCGTTGGGTAAGAGTTGGCTTGGGACGCCCGCTCTGAGCAGCAGGAGAGCCCGGGTTCGGATCCCACATTAGGGCCAGTGACGCAGCACCCTCTACAGCTAAGATGGTGAAAAACAGCTCGACCTGGAGCTGGGCTGCCGTGAGTCGCTGGTGAAGGCGTAGGCTGCAGTGAAGCAGCAGTGGGCTGCCATAAGCTACCGTGAGTGGCTGGCAGCCGGCATGAGCTGCTAAGAGCTCCTGTGAGCGGCCATCCAATGGCCGGCAACCGATCTGCCTCACCCGGGAAGAGCGCAATGATAATACCAACATGGGCCAGTGAAGCGATGTCCTCCACAACTAGACTGAAGAACAAAAGGACAGTAACTTGTCTGTTCCCCTTATAAAATCTTAAAAAAAAGTTTAAAGGTGTACCTTGGCCTTTTCTCCCGTAACTGTATCTACCTCAGTCTTTTCCAGTGGATCTTCTTCTTGTGCTATGTCTTTCTCTTCATGTCTCTTCCCATCACTTCATTTCTCATTTTGTCCTCTGTCCAGCTCTGTCCCTGCTTCAGAGGTCCCTAATGCAGAAATGAAGTGCAGATCTAAACAAAACAATGTTTATTTCATAAGAGTTTTGTTTTTCTTTTTCTCTATGATTTTTTAAGGAGATGAATGGATGGAGACCTCCAACTTCTCTTTCAGTTCTGGAGCTCAATATGAAAGTGTTTCATGTGTGAATCTCAATCGTTTTTCCATCTAAATCATTTTTCCTAAAAAATGTAGGTGTATTTTTCTGGGTAAGAAGAAAGTGCCCTTGATCAAGGATGGCAGCCCACACATCACATATCACAATGACATTCACTGCGTATTGTAAAAGTCAATATGGTATTTTCACTTTAAGGCTGGAAAACCAGGGAGCAGACATAGGGGAGGGTCCGCATCCTATACCCTAGTGGTTTCCAGCTTAAGGCCTAAAGTAAAGAGAGAGATGGGGACCAAAAAACAGAATCACATATCTCAGTGGCAGAAGAAACCAGAGAAATCCCATCACAGCCCTTCAAAACTGGGAGCTTTGTAAATTCTCGTTCAAGGGGTGAGACTCCGGTTTGGTAAATGAGTCTTATCTTAATATCTGGTCATGCAAACTTTACTCTTGAAACCCACACAAGGAACATAATTTAAAACTTCTTAAATCCCAACCCTACAGCAGGAAGTAGTTGAAATCACCATGGAACACAAATGAGGAACCCCTGGTTTTAACTTGAGACTGGCCAGTTCATAGGGTGGCAAGTCCATTTATCATCCTACATTTAAATTTCTTTTATTTAAAAAAAATTTTTAAAGATTTTATTGGGGAATTGGGGGAGGGGGAACAGCGTTGGGGAATTGGGGAAGGGAAACAGACAAGTTGCTGTCCTTTTGTTCTTCAGTCTAGTTGTGGAGGACGTCACTTCACTGGCCCATGTTGGTATTATCACTGCACTCTTTTCCGGCTGAAGCAGTCAGTCTCTGGCCATTGGACAGCGGCTCAGCAGCTCATGCCAGCTGCCAGCTGCTCACACTGGCTGCCGGCCACTCATGGTAGCTCACGGCAGCCCACTGCAGCAGGGGCTGCAGCCTACACCGTCACCGGCGACTCCCGGCAGCCCAGCTCCAGGTCAAGCTGTTGTTCACCATCTTAGCTGTAGAGGGCGCAGTGTCACTGGCCCATGTGGGATCCAAACCGGCAGCCCTGCTGCTCAGAGCTCGTGCTCCCAAGACAACTCTTAACCAACGAGCCATTCGGCCAGCCCTACACTTAAATTTCTTCATCTATAAAATAAAAATAATATTTTCACCTACCTCACAGGGTTACTTTGAACCAATTGAGATAATATATGTGAAAAAGCTTTGAAAGATTATAAAATTATGTATATATAAAATGGTGTTAATAACAGCAGCATCAGAGCTCATAAACTCCACCACACATATTTATACTTGTGAGTAAATAATTAGGAACAATGATTATTAATCAAAAACTACATTGTGAAACAGAATTACTCTCTCCCTGCTTATCAAGTTTGCAGGTGTTAAGCACCCTGACCTTGAAGGGAGAAAGTACTGAATTCAAACTCCAACTCTACCATCAGCAATGTGACTTTGGGCAATGTATTAATTGCTCTGAGTCTCATTTTGCTGACACACACACACACACACACACACACAGTGAAGATAATAGATTTTTTTTGTGAGGACCCAATGAGATAATGCATGCAAAATGTTTGATATAGTGCCTAGCACATAGTAAGTACTCAGTAAACATTAGCTTAAAAAGTATCAAACATTCTTTGAGCACTTCCAATGTGCCAGGCCTAACTTGGGAAACAAAATGAAAAGGCATGGTTCCGTTTCAAAGAGCTTAACAGTTTGGTGGGGAAACGTACATACAAATAAAAAACATGCTCACCACTCAAATGCAAAGGCAGGTTTGACAATGAAGTTATAAATCTGCTTGGAGAGACAGGGAAATAGAAGCCTTCTTGGAGGAGGAGGCATTTGACTGAAGACTTTTGAAGGATGAGTAGAAGTTTGTGTTTTAAAAGGCTTGGTGCTTTTTATTTGGCTTTATCATTTGCCTACAGGGGTTTGATCCCTTGAAAAGTCGAGGCTCATGTTTATGCTTGTTGGCTTTCTGGTGATTCAACCTAAACATTCTGGTGACTTCATGAGCGTGGCATTGGAAACAGATTTTACTTGCTATTTTCTATTTGTGAAACATCTGTTGTTTTGTTTTCATTGCATAGACTCCTTAAGAGCTGTGAAAACAACTTCTTGCACAGGGTATAGATTGGTTCCCGCCATGTCAAAGTGTTAGCGTCCTTGGTGCATGTTGCTGAACCCATTAAGGAGACAAGGCAGGGAGGGCTTGTAACCACTTGTCTCTCTCGGCAAAATCTGGAGCTCGAGGTGACCAGGATAAATGGGTAGGGAATAAACAGTGGAATGCACAAGGATTTGTTCTTCTGGAGAGAATGGAAAGTTTAAAGATAGCTGTCCTTTGTCCACATGCAAATGTGAAACTACAGAAAGCTTTGTATTGGCCAGATAGCTTGCTACCAAACTGACATGTCTTTCTCGTTTCACCAAGTATGTTAGCAGCGAATTTGGGAGTTAGAGGTGTTGCCCAGAGTGGAAGGAGTGTCAGACTTTTCTTTGGGTTGTCTGCTTTTTAAATATTGGTCAAATCCCTCATCTTAACAACATATATAATAGAAGATGTTAAAAGCTGTATTTATATTTGCTTCTACACCAGTAACTGCCATGGTAGAGAAATTTAATTGGCATCTAACAGAAACCATGTTACTTTAGAAAAGTCATATAACCTTAAGAATTTAGAGCTGGACAAGCCTTAAAGAGTTTGTAATTCGGCCTCTTCATTTCACAAATGAGGAAACAGTGGCCCAGAGAGGCTGAGCTGGGCTACTCCAGACAGAATCTTATGGGGCTTTTGTCAGCACTTTGCATGATGGTGATTTGAAGAGACCCATATATTAATAGTACTTTTCAAATGCAGCAGGCATAAATGAATTGTGTTTCTCTCCACATTTGTTAGCTGAGAAAGATACAGACCAAAGCAAAGTAAACTTTGGTTAAGTCCCAAGAAGGAGACAAGCCAGTAATATTGAAGTTACTATATTGTCCCATAGGATTAGTGCTGAGTGAAAATGAATTGATTCCAGCCCACTGAAATTTTGGGCACCTGGCCAGGAACTTTTAAATAAGAACTGTTGTCAACAACAACAAAACAGTCATCAAGACTGGGTAGTACCTTGACCCAAAGCCAAGAGGCAGTACCCCAGTACCCCAGCAAGTCTGCAGGTATGATATTCCACCTTGATACATAGATTGGGAGAGGAACTGCTGGATTCTGTGGTAGAAGTTAATGTTTTTTTGGAGCCATCTCCTCTGGAGAAACTGCAGCAGCTGGCAGGACGTGGAAAAGCCATCTTTGGCCGGCAGAAGGACCACTTCCCTCAGACTCCTATTTGGAAGCAAGAGTGCATGGCAGATAAGCCAGGCCACAGACAAGCAGAGAGCCACAAGCTCACCAGCCCTTTCCTTCATCTCCCCCAAAAGCGATGCCCACTGCACCATTCGAACCAGGCAATGGCCCAGCCTGGAGGGCTCCCCCTACCCTAATGGTAGGGAGTCTCCCTTGAGTGCATTTTCCTACCTGGCTTTTTCGGGGGCCCTCCCCACACCGCGTCCCTGTTCCCAGGGCTGGGGAGGAGAGGAGGGCTGTGGCAGGTACGGGGCTTTTCATGTGTCAGGCTGGTCCCCGAGGGAGGGGCAGGCGTCCGAAGTGACGGAACAGAAGCCCCGAGACCCTCGGCCACCACTGCCTCGGTCGGGCGGCGGTTCGGGAGGCGGCGGCAGTCACTGGCGCGCCGCTTGTCCCGGGCGCAGAGGCGGCGCACTCGGAACCCGCTGGGCCGCGCACGCCGCGGCCCCCGGCCCGGGTAGCAGTTTGCCCCGGCGGGCAGCTCACCGGCGGGCCGGGATACCCCGGGGAAGCCTCAGGGCCCAGGGGCGGCGGCGGCGAGACCCCGCCCCGGCCGGCTGGCCAGCGCCTATCGCTGCAGCCGGCCTGGTCACGCGGAGAGTGGCGCTGCGGGCTCAAGGCCAGCGCCAGACGCTGCCAGAGTCGCGGCGGGCCGGGCCGGGCCGGGCGGGGGTGGAGGGTGGAGGGTAGAAATAGGGGCGGGCGGGCCGCGCCAGTCTCCGAGCCGCGCGGAGCCGACCTGAGCCACGCCGAGGGCGCCCAGCGAGGCGCCGAGCCCTGAGCACCCATGCTGCTGACGCTGGCCTGGGGCTCACTCTTCTTCCCGGGGCTCTACGTGCTCTCCACCTGGTGGCTGCGCCGCGCGCGGCCCGAATGGACCTACCATGACTGCGTGATGATCAGCACCAGGTACGAGGCGAGGCCAGCGTCGCCCGGGCCCCGCCCGGCCGCGCGGGCTGCACCGCGCCCGGACCCGGCGGCGCCCGCCCCTTCGCGGAGCAAGGGCGGAAAGGGGGGGCGACAGGAAGCGAGGGGGCTGCCTCCCTGGTTCTTTGCCCCTCTCTGCGGCGCTGGCCGGGGCTCTGCGAACTCCCTGTGCGTCCTGTCCTGGAGGGAGAGGGGAGCAGGGTGGAGGGCTGCCCACGCTGATCAGGATGGGGAGGGAAGCCTGCTACCCACATCTGCCAGCTGCCTTGGGGGTCGGGAGCGTGGCGCTGGCAGCCTAGGGGAAAGTCAGGTTGAAGGGCTTTGGCTTTACGCTGCCTGTGGGATTGGATTGAGCGCGCACTCCTCCCCCCCCCCCTTTTTTTTTCTTTTCTACCGCACATTAGGGTGGTTTCTTCAGCGCAGGCTGTGTTGGCCACCGGGTCAGGGATCGTCATCATCTGCGCCTGTAGAAACGTGGTCTCCGACAGGTAACATCCAATGCCAGGTGAAAGAAGCGCACATATCAGCGCTGAACTTTTTCGAAGTTTGCACATCTTAGCCACTCACAGGCCTTAGTTCTTGATCAGCACATGCTGTTGGGTAGCCCATTAATGGGAAAACTTGAGCACCGTAATTGGCTCCCGCCTCCTCTCTTTCAGCATGGCCACCTTAGGACAAAATAAACTGAAGAGATGCTAGAGAGTGACAGAGCCTAAGCCTGATTGAAGGTGACACGTGAGAGGACAGTGTGGTCCATGGATCCAAGTTCTTTGTGAGAGATACATTTGAAAACTATTCAGAAGTGAGATGTGGCTTTTGGTTCTTTTAAGTGATCTCATTGGGGTCCCGCTTTGGAGCATTTAATGGCCAATACATGTGCAGTGTGGTTAGCGGAGCCCTTCTGTGGAAAGCAGTGAATCCGCCACCCCCGGCCTAACAAATGCTGCTCTTGTCTTTCCTCTGGATTTGCTAAAGGCGGCGAAGAGCTTTCTGGTACTTTCAGAACACTGACTTGTATGTGTGTTAGAGCTCAGTCCAAAGGTGGCAGGTCAGAAAATCTGCATCTAGTGAAACAAATCAAGATCAGAGTGGTCCGCTTTGGGTAGTATTTAGACCTGGGCAGTGGCGGTGTTTTGTTTTTGAAGCCATTTCTTTTCCCCCACCTGTCTTCTAAGAGCCACTCTCACTGTCTCCCAGTTAAGTTCAAGAGCGGTAGTCAAACGTACAGGGAAAGCCTGATCCTGATCCTTTTGTCATGTTGACTCTGCAAAGTGTCTGACTTTCCACCTGTTGAGCCTGGAATGGGAGGGGAGCCTGAGTGGGGCATCTGTCTCACTGAGGCCTCCATGCTTAGTGCCTGGATCTTACTTGGGATTAATCCTGCTGTCATGATTTTCGTGCTTTTCTTCTTAACGCCTCTTTTTAGACAGAACCAGTTCTTGGTGATGAATTGTAGATGCTGAGAGAAGACAGGTCAAGGGACTTTGGTTGCATATGCCAAAGGCTAACAGCATTTGCTTGGTCGGGTTCAGAGTTTATTTTAATCAAGCATTGTGTGATCATGAGGCAAGCTCCCTCACTGCTCCCATCCAGCTTGTCAGATCAAACTTGAAACCAGCCTCTTTTGCGAAGATTAAGATAAATGGCATCTCCTCAGCTGTATCTTGAGCTGACAGGAGAGCACACAGCAAGGCAACCACTGCACATTTCAGGAAAAGACATTTACACACTATTAGTTTTCAGTTCTGTAGCACCACTGCTGTGTTTTCTCCTCAGAAGCGGTGTGTTTTAGTCGCTTGAGCACGGTAGCAGACCTGCGTTTGGTTGTCAGGTCCTTCCTTTGTGTATCTTTAAGCCTTAGATTCTCTGCTTGCAAAATGGAGACAGACACATTTCTGTGCCCTCCACCTATACGTGAATGCACAAGGATGCTCTAATGGCACCTTGACCATCTTAAAAAAAAAAAAAGGCCTTTTAGGACTCATATACTATACATCTAAATATTGGTCTACTATATGCCTTTTCATTTTATGCCTTTGTATAGACTGTCTATAGCTAGGAGGGGGTAGCTATACATCCCCCCCAATTATATGCAGAATTTTGGTGTAGGGCCAAGGATATCATCAAATTCTTAAAGAGGTCCACATCCCTAAAAGGGCTCAGTAAGAGTCACAGCTCTAGGCAATTTTCTCAGTTTAAGCACTTATATTTGGATAGTACTTTTTACATTTAAAAGGGCTTTTACACTTTCAGTTTTTTAATCTTCATAGTAACTGTCAAGGAAGTAAGACAAGGATTATTATCTTCATTTTATATATTAAAAAAAGCTGTCTGAGGCTAGTGGTAGTTAAGATTATAATCCAAACCTTTTGCTATAAATCTTCAGAGAATCCAACCAAACAGCCACAATTTCAGATTTTACTGGATTGGTACTGTGTGCAAAATATTAAAACCTTAGGCTCCACTCAAGGGATGAGGCCAGTTATATTCAAGCGCAGCTTTTAGTAGCTCTTCATAGTTATTTGACTTGGAATTGCTTCAAGAAAGCAATGGAGACCATAGATGGGCAGTAAAATAAATATTGTATCTTTTTGCCTAAATGGAACTTGGCTAATTAATTCACTGGCATGTATATTCTACTTGCCATTCCTTACTTGTTTGCCTATTTCATTGTTTATTCATTCTTGAGTTATGCTGTGGTAAGTGTGGAATCACTCAGGAACAGAAACTTGAATGGCACCCTCTGTGGAGTCTATTCCCAGTGTTGCAGTTCACAGGCTGGCTTCTTAGGAAATCACCTGAGACAAGGTAACACATACAGATTTGAGGGCTGTAGGCATACCATTTAGAGCCTTGGCAGGGGTAGGGGTGGGGGGTGGAGCCCTTAACAAGCACTGCAGGTGATTAATGTTAGGGTGGTTTGAGGACCTTAAAACTAAATTGTTTCTTCTCCTAACCGCATGGGTGCTCAATAAAACTTTGCTGACTTAGCAAATCTAATCCGCCCCAGCATAGCACATGATTTCAATTTAGGTGTTTGTTTTTTCCCACAGCAATTTTCTGTAGAATTATCATTTATCATTTGGGAACAAAATTGTAGGAATTATAGAGACTTTCCTTCTAATCTGCTCTAGGACAGTAATAAACTATCATTTCGATTCAGCAAATATTGATTCAACCCCTTTGGACAAGCAAATGAGAATACTGTCTTTTGTCTCAGCTCCTCTGCTGGTATCTGCCTGCTGTAAGGTAGCCCTTGAGCTCTGGGCTCTTTTCCAGACATATTTTTCTTAATGAGTAGAATTGGGATTAGCCATAGAACTGAAGAAAATGGCCAGGGTTGCTTGCCAGAAACTCCCCGGAGTGGGGTTACAAGCAGATGCAAGAGGAAACTCCCAACTCTTGAGCAACGAGTAGAGTTAAACTGGAAATATTGGATTGGGATTCGGGACACCTTCCAAACCAGTTTCTTGGTGGGGCTGTTGAATCATTGGTAGAGATATCTATATCAAAGTCAGCTTATGTCACAAAATGCCAGAAAATCCATTATAAGTGAGTGGCTAAATCAGTCAGATAGGGACAGCCAATTGCTTAAAACATGTGGTGCTGAGTGCATTCCTGCTTTCTGCCTTTGACACTTGTGAATTTGCTCTGTGATTTAGAAAGCTGTTCACTCTCCTTGTTCATCAATTTCAGCATCTTCATTGTAAAGTATCTGGAGTAAAAACAGCTGATTAGTTAAAAGCTGAAGGGAATGTGTTTAAGAAGCTGGCTTTGAGCCTTTGTCATCGATACCCATAATTATTTCATGGACCACTCATATGCTTTCTTTCAGACACTGGCTTTCCCGAGAATATGTCTGGTTTTTGATTCCGTACATGGTCTATGACACCTACGTCATGTACCTCTGTGAATGGTACCGAACCAGAGAACAGGACCGCAGACACACCCTCACCATTTTTCGAAACTTCCTAAGTAAAAACCGCCTCATGATCACGCACCATGTGGTCATTCTGTTGGTCCTTGTGCCCGTTACGCAGGTATGGCCTCCCAGGACATAGCCACCAGCTGCCTTGGTCACTCATTTCTCCTGTTGAATTGGGTATCCTGACCATGACTTAGGAGTCAGGATGGCCCCTTTTCCTTCTTCCCTACTGCGCTGACTTTCCTCCTGCCGGCTGCTTCCTCAGTTAAATCCCCCAGGAAAATTAGATAGAAAAATTAAACCTGAAATGTTTGTAATCCTCCTTGCCAGCAATCCCCCAGCCCTTTGTGATTCCCTAGCCTTTGCCAAAGGTTCTGTCTGTAATTCATATAAAAACAATGTACAGTACAAAACAAGTTCTTTTGAAAAAAATGAGAGTAGCTCAGTCCACTGGTTATTTGCTCTAACGGTGCCAGAGAGTACTGTATGCATGATTTTAATGTCACAAAAGTACAGCCTCTCAAAGTAAATAGCCTCATAATTTCTCCCTAGATCCATTTTCCCCATAAAAGCCCTACCCAAGGAAGAGAGATGGGGCTGCAGAAAGGAAACTAGTCATTTCTGAGTGCCTACCAGGTGAAGGTGCTTGATTTAAAAGATCATAGCTTTCTCCTAGTAATTAGAAATGATTAGAAATAATAATTAGGCATTGTTAGCCCTAAACCACAGATGAAGAGACTGGGGCTTTAAGAGTTGATGAATCTCACGCAGTGGCACTAAGTGACAGAGCTGGTATTCCATGCTATACTGCTTCCTAGCAAAGGGAAAAGGAGCAGTTGAGTGCCTTACATTCTTTAAGAACTCTCCCTAACATCTAGCACAGGGCCTGGCACATATTTTGTTGAACTGAACTGGCTAAGTGCCCTTGGCATGACTAAGTTAGATACCCAAAAGTAGGCTGCAGAGTTCCTTCCTGCTGACATTGAAATTCAGAGAAAGCTTGGTGTGTGATGCAATCGGCCGATCTTAGGTTGCCTCTGGACCCTAGGGATTCTACTGTCAAAGCGCCATTACTATGGAAGCAGCGGAGTATTAACTGGGTCTACATTAGCCCATTTAGCACTTCCCTTTCCCTTCATGGTCTCTCATGGTTACCCTTTTCAACAGCCCTAGTTAGAGGTTTCCTTCCGTGGCTCCTTAACCTCCGTGCCTTATTCCCCTTTTCCCCCTTTTACTCTGCAGAGGCTTAGGGGAGACCAGGGGGACTTCTTTGTTGGCTGCATCTTCACGGCAGAACTGAGTACTCCATTTGTGTCGCTGGGCAGAATTCTGATTCAGGTATGTATGAATGAAATGGCAGAAAGTGTGGAGGGCGTGGACTCTGCTTTGCCTTGGTAGGTGTGGGGTCTGGAGAAATCCCTTTGTGCTAGGAAAAGTGGGATGGGAGACCCTTGAACAGGCTGGAAAGGTCATTTGGTCTTCTGAGCCAAGGGGGATGAAACTGTACATTGGATTCAAATTTGATACAGTTCTCTTCCTGGCCACAGATTTTCTCTCATCCACTGTTCCTGTGCTCCTGTCAGCTGGGTGGCTCAGGACAATTTACAAGGCTGTATGCATATATAAACATGGCAGCGCTTCTCCAAGATTGGCCTTTACTGCTGTGGGACTTGGGCCAGTCATTCCCTGAAGGCCCAACCTCCCGGTGACCCTGCATTCTTCTTCCCTCTTCTTTTGCAGCTGAAGCAGCAGCACACCCTTTTGTACAAGGTGAACGGAGTCCTCACGTTGACCACCTTCCTTTCCTGTCGGATCCTCCTTTTCCCCTTCATGTACTGGTCCTATGGCCACCAGCACAGACTAAGCCTGTTGGAAGTGCCGTTCAGGATCCCCTTCTACTGCAACGTGGCCAATGCCTTCCTCATCGCTCCTCAGATCTACTGGTTCTCTCTGCTGTGCAAGAAGGCAGCCCGGCTCTTTGACGCTCCCCCAGCTGGAAAGGATGGATAACCGCTCCCTGGAGTCAGGTGGTGAGGGTGCCTCCTCACGCTGCCTGCCTTCCTCCACAGTGTTCCATGGACCAAATAGTGCCTTGGGTGGCCTAAGCCTTTGGGGTATTGATAAGCAGATGGGCTTGAGTTTTTCTAAAGAATATTCCTATTACCTGCCTCTTCTAACTTGCCCCTTTTGCAAAAGCACTTTTTTTCTGAGTAACAACTATTGGATTCTGTCAGACCTCCATTGGTAGCAAAGTGGTTTTAAATGCAAGCCCAGGGATCCTTTCTTGGGTCTTATCTCAAGGGCTCTGGGAGGTAGGAGCATGGGGTGTGGAGCTAGGTGGACCAGGGTGTTCAGTGTCTGGGCACTCACCTGGCCCTAATATTGGTGGCTACCCACCTTTCCAACCACTCAGGGCAGTATCCACACATACTGGGCCAGCAGAAGCAAGTGATGACATAGTTCTTAAAATAATTTCTGATGTTGTTGGCCTGAGAAAATCGTGTGGGTAAGTAGTTTATTGTTTACTTAGATAACCCATTGGTCTTTTGCCTCATCCTTTCATCCATGTGCCAACATTGAATTCTCATGTCTACTGATTTATAATCAGAAGTCTCATTGGTGGTAGTGGGGGCAGGAGGCAGGGATGGGAACCTGAAGCACTTGAGCAGTTAGGGAGGCCAATAGGTCAGCACCTTTGCAGGCTGACCTGATAAGACCAGTGTCAAACTTGTGAGCTTGTTCAAATACTATTCCTTTTTTAGGATGTTCCCTCAAGCCCCGTTTTCCCCATATCCACATGCACAAGATGCTCTTGTGAAGAACTATAGGGGTAAAGTGAAATGATGGCTACCAAGCTATTTACTGGGTTACCCCACCCTTTGACATTGTCCTTTTCACATGAAGTGGAAATGGACTTCTGTATTCTAAACCATGAGACGTCTCATCTAGACTGCCTCCTGGTAAGCCAGAGCTCGTGGTCCAAAGCCTGTTCCTATGTGAGTGTACCACCACTTAGCCACAGAAGGCTAGAGCAAAAGTGTAAGGCAGCCCTGGCCAAAATATGTCCTGTGGACTGACTCCTTCACTACCATTTGCAAATGGGATCCTCTGGTGCCAACACTAATCATTCCTTATCACCTAGGATGGGTTTTACAAACTGTGCTACCATGCATTTTTTTTCAAATGGTAGTGAAAAACTAGATTTTAAAAAGTGCCTTTTAATTCATTGTCCATGAACTTTTACAGTACTGAATATGTAACAGTGTCTCAAATTTTGACTATGTCTTTAATAGTTGAAATTGAAAAAATGCAAAATGCTGTAATTTGTTTTTTTTTACTGTTTTACTATCAGTATATCTTTATAAATCACCCCTGTGGTGATTAAATTGCACTAATATTTCCCAACTTACTCTCATTTGTGAAATACATCAATACCGACTCCCTGTAAGACCCATTCCGTAACCTGACTTGACTGGCTGCTGAGTGCTAGTTTCTGGTCTGTGTTCATATCCATGTAACTGGCAGAGGTGGGGTGTTGGGGAGAGGTGGATATGTTAATGCTGTCAGCCTCCAAGAGGGCCTACCTCATATCTTACTCTAACATGTTTCTGTGATTCATGGTTCCAAGAATACACTGCAGGGTCTTAGCGTTCAAGCACAGTGGTCATCTAACTTTAGGCCCTTTCTTCTTTTCATAGGTGAATCCCAATTAGGAGTTGGGAGGGTGGAACCCAACTGCAGGCCACAGAGCCAGGCCACTTTAGGTGGAGGAGGGAACCTGAATGCCCCATTTTGAATAAGGGCAAGGATATGAAGGAGGTCATGGAGGATATCCTTTTCCACTTCCTTACCTCCCAAATAATACCTCACCAACCAGTTCTCATAGTTCTGTAATATGCCCTAGACACCGTAAATTCACATTTTAATGCTTCTGCAGATACTAGTCCCTGCTCCCAGTCATTCTTCAAAACCGTGATCCACTCTAGGCAGGAGATAATTATACTCATCCTTTAAACACTTCTCTGCTGTGTTTACCAGACCCAGTTTTAGCACAGCCCCTTCTGGGTCCATTGAATGGATGGCGGTAAGGCTGTATGGCAGAAGTCAGCAATTCAGAAGCCACTCATTTTCTTCGGGTCACTAAGCTACCCCCAATGCTAAATTTGCTTGGTCCAACCTCTCCTTTTACAGTGGTACAGGGCCTTTTGGGCACACAAATCATATGGCCAACTGGTGGCAGAATAGAGTTCTTTTCCTAATAGGTGCCCTTTCCAAGAGACCATGAAATGACTCTTGAAGAGGGTTTCAGTGCAAAAGAACACACACATACCTCATTTTTCCATTTGGGTGGTTTCACCTTTGGACTTATTTGACCAAATTTTGGGTGAAGCCCAATTATGAATATGTTTCTTCCTTGTTCCTCATGTCCTTTTGACTTGAGCAGCTCAAAAAGGACCGTGTGATTGATGGCAAGGATCATGTTGCCTACTGAAAAGAGCACATCTTCCTGCCACCGAGTTTCAGTGTCAGAAAGGGTGATGGGGTGGGACTGAAGAACCTTGGCCCAGATGATAACCAGAGCCTTCTTATTCTAGGCAAAAGGCTGGGAGCATGCTGTGGAGGAGGCGATCTCCCTCAAGGCCTCCACAATGGGTCGCCCAACATGCTCCCAGTCAGACTTGATCTTTAGGACCTTAGGTGAGCCCAATTTCAGCATATCTAAGCCTAGACTATTGATAAGAAAGACTCGAGACAACATGAAACTCAAAATTTTCTTATAGTTTGTATGTTACAATTACCTAAGGAACTATTTTCTTTACATTGTTATTACCATATGCTTTTTAGCTTGTGTACAAGTTCACATAACTGAAAAGGTTGTGTTTCTCAGTTCTAGCCCCTATAGACCCCACCCAGCAGAGGCCCAGCTGTTTTCTGATCTACAGCGGTCAGAAGTTGCTGATCTTCTGCAGCAGGGTTTGGCGCCACTCCTCAGGGCTAATGTTCTTGGCAATGGACTTTAAGAAGCGCTGGTCATTTACCTTCTGGAGCAAGGCACTAACAGAAGGGTTGATGGTCTTGCTCAGGGTTTCATAGCAGGTGAGGATTTCCAAGGCCAAAACGTACAGTGGTTCACACACCTCTTGGTGGAGCATGGCCATGATGTGCAGAACGTGACAGAATACCTGGGTATAAAAAAAGAGGGCTTCCTGGGTCAGGTCCTGTTCTTGACCTTGGGCCCAAGCACCAGCTGACTGTGTCAACCTAACTGAGTCCAGAAGGTTGGTCAGACTGCTACAGAGGAGTTTGACTACATGGCTCCAGCCTTCCATAGGAAGCCAATTACGACAACTCTGGCTGCAGAGAAACTGGAACGCTCTCAGGAGGAGTACGGAGAGTTGGAGGTCCTGGGCCAAAGGCTTCAAGTTGAGCAGAGGAACAAACTGAATATATTCCAGGCTATAAGGGACGTGCAGGAGTTGTTTCTCCAACAGTTTCCTGGTCAACTGGTAAAGGTATTGCCATTCCCGGCTGCTGCACCAAGGCATGACTTGCACCAGGGCCACCAGAAAGCCCTTGCTGAACAATCTGACCTCTTCAGGGTTACTCACATCCACCACCAAGAGGGAGAGCATCTGCTCAGAGATGCTGCTGGAAACGTAGCAGCATTCCATCCAGGCAAGAAGCCCTGTTCCTGGCCCATATCCAGGGTGGGTCTGGGAGGTCCACTCATCCTCAGAAAGCTTACAGATTTCAAAAAGTGTGGCGGGCACTTCACACTTGAAGTGCCCTTCAAAAAAGTTCTTCAGTCTCAGGCCCACAGTCCAGTCTAGCTGCTCCAACTTCCGGTGGAGCCAGGACAGGGACTTGATCCAGGTGTCTGGGGAAAACGTCTCAGCATTAGCTAATACAATCTCACAGAGGAGCTCCAGGATCTGGATCACTAGATCCTTCTCATCCAAAGAGAGGCACCGCTTCTCCTTGGGGAGCTGCCAGTATTTGCTGAAGCAATCCAGGAGCTGGCACAAGCTGAAGATGAGGGGAAACGGAGCACAGGTCTGGAGCCAGAATTCCTTTAAGCAGGCGTCTGCTTCGAGAGTCTGGATGAAGATCTTCAGACTGATGTCCACCTCTTCCACATCTAGCATCAAAAAAGGCAAGACAAATTCCTTTAGCACCTCATCTGGCTCAAGAAGAGCAGCGACTGGCATCCCCTGAGGCTTCACAGGACTCATCAGGCAGCTCAGGAGCTCCAAAAATTGCTTTTCTTCCTTGGGTGTAGAGAACTTTGTCCAGACAGTTTCTTTGAGGCATGACACCATGAAAGTGGTGGATGCATTGGGACCCTGCTCTTCTGTGAACTTAAGGGCGGGGAAGGTGGTCAGAATCTGAGCCAGGAACTTGTGGGTGCCGAGATTGACCACAGCCATGCTGCACATTTTCTTCACTGTGATCTCTGGGTACAGTATTACCAGGCGGGCCACAGAGGCCACAGCTTTAGCCAAGCCCTGTTCAGAGGCACTCTGCGCAAGCTGGTTAAAAGTCATGTTGAGGTCTTCCTGAAACCCCTCCAAGTAAGCCAACAACTTCTCAGAGAGGCCCTTTCTCCCCCAGGAAAGCAGAACACCTGAGAGGACTTTATTTTTATCTGGCATTGAGAGGTCTGCATAACATTCCAGGATCAAATCGATCACTTGTTTGATCTGAGATTTGGGAATGGCTGTGTCTGTCGTGCTGACTTCCACCACTGTTTCCAGCAGCTTTAACACCAAGTCTGGCTCTTGGAAGAGAGCCTGGTTATTAACCAAGCAGGCTAGCCACTCGTCCGAGAAGGCCCACTTCTTCTCAGAAGCAAAAATGTAGCACATTTCCATATGCCGGTCCATCTTCTGCTCAATGATGGCCATGGCGATTGAGGCAGTGATGTCCTTCTCCAAGCCCTTGTTCAGCACCGTGTTCGTTTTTCTCAGGAAGTCCCCAACACACTCTGCCAGATCAGAGACCACCTGCCTTTCCTCCTTGGGCAAGCTGGTGGTATCCAGATAGAGCTTCAAGTTCTGGCTGAAGGAAGTCAGACTGTCACACAGCCGGTAGCTGTCGTAACTCATTCCCTGGCTGCTGTTGAGCATGGCCTGCAGCTCCTCCCCCCACTCCCGCAGCAGGCTGCGCATGAACTCAAACCCAATGAAAATCGTCTCGTTCGGGAGCTTGGCCATCGAGCTCAGGCTGACGTCCCGTTCTGCCTCCTTGACCTTCTCTGCCAATGCCTGTTGGTGATAAGGGTTCTGGGTGTCCGAATTCCACACGGAGACCACTGTGGCCAGTTTGTCTAGATACACAGTCGCAGACACTTCCTGAGGGTCGTCCTCCATCAGTGCAAACACGGTCAGCATGTCAGCCAAGTTGGCTAATGCACAGCACTTCATTCCGGGGCATAGGATTCTGTTTTGGATTTGCTTCAGGCCAGTGAGCAGCATGGCCAACAGGGGCATGGTAGGACACACATCTGGGTCTGACTTAAACCTCTTTGGAGGGTGGGAGAAGTCATCTGAAGAGGACAAGTACTTATGGGCCATTGTCTTAAACTGGGAGAGCAGGGGATCCTGCTGATTACCCTTGTGCTTCATCATTTCCCACCAGACATCTAGGAAGAAGGCCACATCCTTTGAAGAAGTGTCAATAGCCATGTGCTCCAAAAAATGCTCTAGTTCTGCACGGCAGATGGTGGTAGGCAGGGCCATCAGGAGCTGGATAAAGAGTCCAGAAGCTTCCAGGGACTTGAGCAGTTCAAAAAGGACCGTGTGATTGATGGCAGGGATCATGTTGCCTACTGAAAAGAACACATCTTCCTGCCACCGAGTTTCAGTGTCAGAAGGGGTGATGGGGTGGGGCTGAAGAACCTTGGCCCAGATGATAACCAGAGCCTTCTTCTTCCAGGCAAAGGGCTGGGAGCATGCTGTGGCAGAGATCTCCCTCAAGGCCTCCACAATGGGCCGCCCAACATGCTCCCAGTCAGACTTGGTCAATTCTGCCAATGCTTTGGGGCTGAACAGCTGCTCAGCCAGCAAAAAGCCTCCGTGCAAAATAGTCATTTCTTCACAGATATTTAAGGGTCCTGCATGGAGAGAAGCTGAATAAGATAAGAGTGTGGTGAAATTTTCAAAACAGTAAGCAGGGGTTAGAAGGAGCAAACAGTTAGTAGGCTGGCTGTCATGATTAGGGTTCTAAATAGGATTAGTGGGAGAGGAGGAAGAAGGAATGGTTCTAAGAGCTACTGCAGAGCTGGAGTCAAAAGGACTGACCTGAGGAAGCTCTCTAGCCTGGAACTGAGAAGACAACTGGCATCATTGGAAATTGGAAACACAGGAGAATCAGGACAGGTTTAGAGGGAACACCATTCAGTTTTGGTTATCTGGAGTTTGAGGTAGAATATTTAGAGCTATCCTCCAGCAACGGAAATGCAGGGTTGAAACTCAGGAGGAAAGTCAGCCTTGAAATATATAACCCAGAGATGAACCAATGAAGTGAATGAATCCCGCAGGAAAAGCATTTGAAAAGGAAAAGCTGGACGACTGAGGCTAGACCTTCCAGCAAAGGATGGGCCAGCAAAGGATTTGGGGAGGAAGATGAGAGGGTGAGAGAGAGAGGGTGAAGGTAAGGGTGAGAGAGGGAGAGGGAGAGAGAGAGAGAGAGAGAGAGAGAGAGAGAGCGCGAGCGCGCGCGGGCGAGCGCACGCAAGAGCGAGTGAGCACAAGGACAGTGTCAAACTACAGGGGCCACCAAGTATTTATTACAAGACATGACAACTAAACTTCTAAGTAATGATACAGACTAAAAGGCGCATAGCCCCAGGGCTGTGGGAACAGAGGCAATCAGACAAGCCCTAACTTCCTTGCTTTCTTTTATAGCCTTGTCCTGCAAATAGGTTTTAGTCATTCTGCCTTTCAGGAAACAATTCACCCTACAGCTCCTTCCATCAAGGAGCACAGGTTCCTCATGGCCTTGGTTCTCTGGTAGAAACCAAGGAATAGATATAAAAAATAATGCACTTACATTAAAAAAGTCCTTCCTTTAGTGAGCCATGAGCTGACATGGACTTATCAAGGAAGGCATCTTGGGATTTTTAATCAGACATGGCTTTAAACCCTAGCTCAACCATTTAAAAGCCGTGTGATCTGGGACAGATGACTTCTGCATATGTGGGGATAATACAGGCTTCATATGACTGTGAGGATCAAATGATGTATACTAGTCAAGCCCTTGGTACTGGGTTGGTGCTCACTGTTAGCTCCTGATCTCATCTCCCAGGGATGCTGAGGGTTAAATAATATATAGCTACAATAATTAGGCTACAAAGAGCCTGATGAAATGCTCAGTAAATGTTTGTTTCCCCAAACCTTTTCATTGTTAGCAAGACCAGAATCTTGTCACTATTCTTTGCCTCCCCCAGCTCAGAAACATGAAAAAGACAAAGATCTTTCTTAGGTGTTTCCTTTGTCCCAGAAACTAAATCAGAGTACAAACACTACTCACTGTTCAATATTCCCGAGTCCTCTGTCCTTTCCCAGGGCCCAGAGATGCCACCCTTTCCTCAGTTCCCAAGGCCCCCAAGAACCCATCTCCCCAGGCTGGGAGCCAATAGACTCCTGATTCCAGCAGATTAAAGAATATCCTGCTCCTTCGACCATTTATGGGAGCAGCAAAAGGCCACAGGATCAGCCCACTGGTGAAGGCAATCCACCTTGGCTCCCAGTGGTAGAGGCCCACTCCCAGGGAGGGTCAGGTTGCTGAGGGGTCTCTTTGGAGGTTCTGGAATTTCTTTCTGGCTCAGGCTGCTCGCCAGAGAGCCAAAATATATTCCCTTATGACTCTGTAAATTGAATTTTATTGCTGTCAGCTCACCTGAGATGTTTGGCCCCCAACGTCTACCTTCCAGAGGCAGTAAGGACACACACATGTTTTGCAAAGGAATAAGTCCCAGGAGCAGTTAATAGCTGGGTAATTCCCAAGTCTTTTATCACTACTGATTAACTGGTGCTTGTGAGTGCCCATTACTTTATATTTATCAAGTGTTTACTCCGTGCCAGGCACAGCACTAGGTGGTACGCATGTAAGATCTCTTTTAATCTTCCAGTCAACCTTTTGAGGACTGTATTATTCCTGTTTTAGAGATGGGAACATTGAGACTCAGACACAATTTGCTGAGGATGTTGCAACTACAGAGCTGTTGTTCCACCAGGCCTGAAATAAATGACCACAGCTGTAAGCTCCAAACTCTTCCAACTCTACCATTTCACCACTTAAGAGCTGGCTGGGGCCAGGGACCACAACTTTTCTCCACAGCCTAGTATTACTGGCATCCCTTGGGGTGCCTCACTCAGCCTCTCCCAGAGCAGTCTCCTGGTCTTATCCCCTTAGGAGCACGTCCACAAGGGTGAGAGGCTGGGCAAGGAGCCACTGATTTATACCAGCTCCTCTCTCTCTTCTCCCAAACTTGGCCCCTGAAGATTCTGAATCAAGGTGCACGCGCCATCTCGGCTGTTGCAACCCTCCCCACAACGGCTAGTCTAATGAACGCTAGCTACGCGCAAGGCACTAATATCGGACACTGTGCACACGTGGTCTCAATGAAAACGCCCTAAAACTCTGTGAGGTGGATACATCATCATCCCCGTTTTATCGATGAGGAACTCCTGAGCGTAAGACACCTGCTCTAGAACTAACTAGACGTTCAATAAATGAGACAGTCGGGGCATCCAGGATTCCCCTGGGCGTCCTCCCAGCCCGGCATTTTCCAAAGCACGTGTATGAACCCTCTCCACTTTCAGGAAATCTAACTTCACATCCTCTTGGCCCTTCACTTGGGAAGTGGCCCGAGGGGGGGCAAGATACCAGCCAAGAAACGGCGGGGCCCGCGCTAGAGCCCGGCCTCACGACCCCCGGGTATCCGAGGACACCCCGGCCCTCCAAAGCCCCTCCCCGACCCCCGAGGGCCTCCCTTAGCCTGGGCCCGCTCAGAACCTCCCTGCTGCCCGTTGCGGGACGCGGCCCAGCCGGGCCAGGGGAAGGGGAGACGGGACACCCACCTAAGTCCATGGCGGCGTCGCTGACGGAGGCACGGGCCGCCCCTCCCCCTCAAGGTGGCGAGTGCCGCGCAGGAGCCACGGCACAATGGGCGGTGCCAGGGGGCGGGACAATAGGCCGAGCCTTAGTCCCTGCCCACAGTCTCAGCTCCCGCTCCACGCCATCAGTCGTAGACCGCCCTCCGCTCCGCGCGCACGCGCACTCCTCACCAACGAGCCCACAGCGTCGAGGCATCCAAGCCCACAGCGCCCCCTACCGGCCCTAGGACTCCAACCCGCCAACAGCCAGGTACCCGCTCCGCCCTCGCGCCGCTGTGTGCCCGCTCCTACCTCTCTCTCGGCCCCGCCCCTTCCAGTTCCAGTCTCCGCTCAGCCGCCCATCTGTCCAGTCCTTGCCCAGCCCTGCTTCCTGCTCACTCAGTGGGTCCTACCCATTAGCTCCGTCCCTGGCCTCGCATTCTCCTCCACCCAGTAACCCCCGGGATTCCCCCGCACACAGTTCACCCGCACTGAATGGCTCTCCCCATGCTGCCCACTAACCAGCAGCACAGACGCGCCACTCTGACAGGCTTCCTTCGGCTTCCTCCCCCGCAGCGAATCTCCCGGTTTCACACCGACAGGCCGCCTAGCCCTAGCCCAACAGCCTCACAGTTGCCCCCAGAGCTGCTCTTTCAGATCACAGCAGCGGCTCCTTCATTTTCTGGCATCATAGACTTTTGAAATGTTAATGGATTGCCCTTCTCCCCAGAAAAGGCACTGTGCGAGCCAGAACAACTGTGGGGGAGGTCCACCCAATCCTATAGGCTCCAGTCTGCAATGTGTACTTCATAAAAACGCGCGTTTGATTTCTCACTGAGAAATATCCCGGGTTCTTCCCCCACACTACCCTCTCTCCCCCCTTTCCCTTTTTCCCAGACTTAATTCATCAGCCTGAAGTGTTTGTAACTCTCTGCCCTCCAGCTTTTAGCACCAGATATCACCTAGAAAGGACAGGGGGGCCCAGCCTCAGCTCCCGCAATGTGCCAAGTGGAGTTTGAGATGGCCTGCGCTGCTATCAAGCAGCTGAAGGGACCTGTGAGTGACCAACAGAAACTGTTGGTGTACAGCTTCTACAAACAGGCCACCCAGGGCGACTGCAACATCCCTGCCCCGCCTGCCACAGAGGTGAAAGCCAAGGCCAAGTGGGATGCATGGAACAAGAACAAAGGGATGACTAAGATGGACGCCATGAGGATCTATGTTGCTAAAGTGAAAGAACTGAAGAAAAACGATACTGGTTAAGGGGACTAAGTGCCAAACACAATGAAGTAGCATGGCTCCTCTGCTAGGGAAAAGGGCTTCCTAAGAGACCTTGATGGCTGAAAGGTCCACCTGAGACATCAATAAATCACTTAAACTGCACGAGAGTAATTGCTGTTGGTAAAGCAATAAACTCAGAGTAAGAGAGTCCTGGGGAGCTGTCCAAAAAGTATGAAAAGCATCTCTCCTCTAGGGAAAATTCCATCAAAACAGGCTTTTGGTATGATTCTGAGTGAAGAGTTCCCAGCCTTCCTATTCCCAGATTATATGTAGATATTTGGCAGTAGAGGGCTTGGGGAATGAGGGGGGAGGAGAGAATCATGCTATGAAAATGCCCAAGGTTTGAGGTCAACGAGAGGCTCAGCTTCTGGGGAGAGGGGGAGGAGGGAGAGGACGCTGGGGCCCCTATTTGTTCAGAGGCTGTCCATTCACTACTAACCCAGTATTATGGGGGAGAAAAGGGCTTTGTCTTCCAAAAAGCTAAAGTCAAGTCCTACTACTAAAAGCCCCTACTGGAACACAGGCCTGATGAAGTTAATGTTTTGAGGGAAGTCGGACTTTTAGTGAGTAACTGATGCATCACAGCACAGCAGCTGAGAAACACTGGAGCAGATGGTTTCAAAATTCTAGCCTCTGAAAGACTTATCTAAACAAACAAAGTTTTCTTACTCATCTAAGCAAAGTTTTCTTGGGGCTACTCGTAGCTAATCCTGGTTTCTGCTTGGGGATGTTTGAGGGATGATATGGAGATGTCTGTACACGAGATTTGTTTTAGGAGCACAACACACCCCTTGACCCATGCAAGGGCCAAAGTGCCCAAGCTCAGCTTATGCTCCTTAGTGTTGATTATCATGGAGGCGTCAATGCACAATGATGCAGTGGGCTGTGGAGTCATAAACAATATCAGAGACATTTCAGAGCAAAAGGTCTGCTATGGTGTGGAATTTTCCAATCCTTTTCCTCAATTGAAAATTATTCTCATAGATCATGACATCAGGTTGGCTCCAGTTCATGACAGATCATTAAACAATAGAAGGTACAATCATACAGACTTCAGAGGAAAGTCAAAGGAAACCAAATCTCAGTAGGTATCAAGCTATTCTGGTTCACATATTTGTAGGAAGTTGCTATAGACTAAGTATATTTAGACACCACATTGACTAAAGAACTATTCCATATAACAATAAACTGGGCAAGAGCCACACAGTACAAAAGTGAGAGGATATTATGAACATATTTTGATGCTTTTAAAACCATGATTCACATTAAATGTGAATAGTAAAAATAATGGAACATTTTGCTCCAAAATATGGTATCAATTTAGGAGCTGTAGATATAGACATACCATTATGTAAGTCGCTAATAAAACCTGATAAAGTAAAAATGTAGCATAATTAGGACTGCAGAAAACACTGTAGGATACATTTATTTATTTATTTTTTAAAGCAAGGTATAGCATACACAGTGTGCTAAATTCTGGCACAGAAGTTTATTTGATCATTCAAAATTCATACAATAATTTCCCCATATACAGGGAAAAAAGTGAACTGTCTGGAGGAGGAACACACATACCGTATTTGCCGGCGTATAAGACGATTTTTTGGCCCTGAAAAATATGCCTCCAAGTGGGGGGTCGTCTTATACGCCAGGTACACTTCAGATAGACTGCCCATAGTGCTTGCCCCGTGCCATAGTGGCCTCCCGATGCCCGCCCACTTCATTCCACATACCGTTCAGGCATCAGCAGCGCTGCTGGGTGTATGCTCGGCTGTTATGCGATTTTGCTGTTATGCGATTTTACCACACTCGCAAAATCGCACACAGCCGACCATACACCCAGTATGATAGCGCAAAATCGCGAATCGCGATACCATACTGGGTGTATGGTCGGAAGAGGGGGTAGTCTTATACGGCGAGTATATAACAAACTCTGTATTTTGAGTGGAAATGTTAGGGGGTCGTCTTATACGCCCAGTTGTCTTATACGCCGGCAAATACGGTAATATGGTTTGCTTTGAAACTCAAGATAGCTTCCCTAAGATATAAAATTTAAGTTGAATGAAAAGTGCCTTGAAGCTGGAAAAGGATTTTTTTCTCAAAGTGAAGGTAAGGTAAGATATAAAATTTAAGTTGAATGGAAAGTGCCTTGAAGCTGGAAAAGGATTTTTTTCTCAAAGTGAAGGTAAGGTCACCTCTAAGGTGAGCCAAAATACGCCAGCAAGGGAGAAGATGAGAAACTGATTTACAAGTCAATTCCTATATACACGTATTATTCTGGAACTGGTATCCCCTAAATCAATCCTTTTCAATCTCCTGTTTCCTTCCTAAAATTTAAACCTGGATACCACTTTAAATAATGAATCTTACAGGTTGGTGTAACAGCTTGATTTTAGAAGTACATCTTCAAAACATTTTAAAATAAATATGTCCAATATAATTCTGTTTCCAGTGATTAAAATTTATTTGTTCTATAAAACAGGAAACTACAAGAAGACATACAAAAAAAAATTTTTTTCAGGCTGAAGATATCATCTAATCCAAATTTAACATGTTCTCTTCTTATGAGGGTTAAAAAAATTATGTAAGGAAACAGCAGAGATCCAGGCAGGTAGCAACACAACATATTATTATATTCTTCCGTCTGTTTTTTCTGGCTACTAAAAATTTTAAAGTAAGGAATGTGGGGGGGTGTTAACTAAATCTTTTGGTTCAAGGACATAATTTCTTTAAACATGTTTAAATGTCAAGGCTTGCCAGAGTAATACATTAGAACAGCATAATATTATCAGATACTGGGAGTATTCCTGTTATAAGCCATTGATTTGGATTTATTTGAACAGTTTTTCTCCTAAGATCTATAGGCTTGTCAAAATTCCCTCCATCCCCAACCAAAGGTAATGTTCCATACAGCTGCCCCAGGCTGGAAAATAATTTCTTACCAATCTAATAGTTATACACAGATTGTGCCATTCCAGTGACAGTGCAGATTACAGCAAGAGTTCTCCTCTAATTGGGTTGATAATAATAGGATTTTATACCTAAAATACATCAGAGCTTTCTAAGATTAAAATACACACATCTTTACCATTCCAGCCTTTAGAGGAAATAACCACATTGTAAGAGCACGTATCATAAATGGACACGTCAGGCCTCACAAGTGCTAGACAGGAATCATAAATGCTTGTTCCATGTGACGTCTTCTGCTAACCTGAAGCTTTCAGTTTATTTCGTTTGGCAAACCATTCATCACTTTTATCTGCTGCCATTGCCTATAGAAACAGAAATGGAGTATATATTTATTCTAAGTCCATAGAACAAAACATGGGAGTTCACTTTGTATCTCATTGCATTGTCTATAATCAAGACATTAACAACTGAAAAATGTTCATTCGGTATAGAGTGTTATGTTTAATTTGACAGAGGATGTGGATGAGTGCTGAGCAATTCCTTGTGGATTCTCACTTTGTAAAGCTCCTGCAGTGAGGACCACCCACACCAGGCTGTGGGGTCTTTGGGAGAACAGGAAGTGCTGACACTCTTAGTACCTGGGTAGGCTCTCAGGAATCTTTAGTGTTCGTGAGACTCAGTCTAATAATAAGACCAAGTATGAAAAGCTATTCTAACGGTTTATCTATTGAGCCTGGGACAGTTTCCCTTTTTGTATGCCTGCTCCCAAGCCATTCCACTGATGTTGGTATTGTTTGGTTAGCTTTGGTCCACCTAATTAAAAAGGAAGCCATGTTGTTAACAACATGTTTTGGTTCCACCAGAGTCCTTTTATCCTATTACTCTATCAGGTTGAGGTCAGGGGCTTGCAGAGGCTTAGAACCTCAGTCTCTTAAAACTTCCCTTCCAACACAACCAAGCATATGCTCAATAGCTGCTTGGTAAGGAAATACATTCACTTATTCAGTCAAAAGGCAAGTACAAAAATATCTTTAAAAATGTCAGTTTTCATTATGAGCTAGGTATTAAGTTGGGTTTGGGTGTGGTAATAATGATATAATGTGAGGCTTTGAGGAGCATATAGAATAGCTGAAATATGAAAACGACTCTTTTGCATGAAGGTAGGTGTGTGTGTGTGTGTGTGTGTGTGTGTGTGTGTGTGTGTGTGTGTGTGTGTGTGTGT